AAACATTGTAACTGTGACCCACCAAAGCATTTCATACATGCTTGAAGCTAAGTACACTGACTAGATAAACTTCAGTAAATGTAGTAACTGTCAAGCTATCAGAACCAGATCAGAACTGCAGTGATCAATCCCTTCCAACATGGCAAGTGGCAATGTCAGCGCCAACCATGTCATTTTACATTCACACCAACCGCTGCTGACTGCAAAATTCCATATGCTTTCTCGACCTGCAAGGCTCGCATTTTTTAGCTCTGGCATTAATTTGTGATCACTGAAAGTACTGAATCCCTCCACTGAACCTGGGGAAGAGGCATGCACAGAGCACGCCTGTTATCTTAGCAGTGAACAGCAGGAACTGCAGCCGCTGCAGGAGCTCCGTAACAGAGCTACTTCCACCAGGCATTTAGAAATTTATTTCTGTACACTGTAACCCTTGCTTGATCTCAAAGAGTGAAAGCTGAACGTTTTATAAGACCATAACCAGCATTAGCACTTAATGAAATCAGCAACGCTAATCCACATGAAAAAATCTGTACTTAATATTTTAGTATACAAAAGCTACTTGTGCAAACTGTATCTACAGATAGTCTAGTATTACCAGCAGGAAGAAAGCTTCATTCCTTCTCTGTCAGTATGATAAACTGAAATTAAATATCATTAAGGTGGTAGACTGTGCGACTTTTTTTACTGTCATCACTAACAGATCTCAAAAGCAACAAACACATGAAAAGATAAAGAACACGGCTGTTGTGAACTCTTCCAGGATGTCACGTGCACTGCCTGACGCACGAAAGGTGCTGGGTGACTTCTTTTTCTTTCTTCAAGCCTAATGCTGACACAATGAAATCTCAGTTCTCTCCAGAAGGAAACAACAAATTATTTTGAAAATTTTGTATAATGTAACTTTTTTGGGCATCTATCAAATTGCCTAAAGGCTCAGACTTTTCAGAAGCTCTGTATCACATTACATTTCATGCTTACAAACTTCTTATGAACAGTATTCCTCACCTAAGAAAACAGTAGTTAAAAGTAGAAAGATTCCTTTATTTCAGTCATCTAATTTTGAGTCACAGCAGCACATCTTTTAGATACTGAGAAGCACGTACTGCGTGTATACCTGCAACCAGAAGAACGAGAAAGGAAAAGATCCATTTTACTTTAATCCTGACCAGCAGCCGTTAGCAATTTTCTTTAGTTATCACTACTGGGACTTGATGGATGGAAAGACTCAATATGCTGAGGAACTAGAGTATAGTGTACAAGTGCTCTCAAGGACTGTTGTTCACCAGCACGTTCAGTTTAACTGCAGACTGGAAGAGATAACAGATAGTTCCTGGGAGCATCTATCATTCTTCAAAGAAGCTGTCTGATCAAGAGGATAATATCTGGAAAAACAATTGCATGATCTTTTGCTATACAGCTAGTATATCATGTCATTGCAGAAGAGTGAACATTAACTCATGTGGTAACTCAAACCAAGAAAACTGCGTAAAAGAACAAGTGGAGATATTACTATTTTAAGACTTTCCATACACTTTGCAACACAGAGAAACTGGATACACAAAAACATGCAAGTCAAAGCTAATCTACAATAAACAAAACCGTAACACACTTAGTTCAAGACTTAAAACATTAAAATATTCACCCCACACTAAATAGGAGCAATGGAATCAGGTCTCAACCCAGCCATGTAATTCAATAAAACTTCAATTGGCTCTTCCAGCCTTTATTTCCCTTCTTTTTATTTGTCTTTATAATTTCAGGCCATAAACTTACTGTGTGTCACAGGTGCCAAAAAGCAAATGTAAATAAGGCATCTTCCTCTCTCTACTAATAGCAGTGCTCCAGGGATTTGTGATGATAAGTTTATGTAGGTGCACAGCCTTTTTCCAACCCACAATTACACGGGATGTCCTTCTCCCAGTGATAAAGCAGGATGTCAACTACTCCAATACCAAAAATATTTGAGCAGACATCCTTCTTTTCTGAGCAGACCTGTCCCATCAGGGTTGCACACTCATTCAAAAGCACGCACCAACAACCATCACTAACCTTCCGTCTGAAAGTTGTGCCCCATCATTATCAGAGGTAGCTCTCATCAGATGAATCTCAATGGATCAATGCTCCTTTTTACACCACAAGTCTTACAAATAAAATCCCAATGGAATAATTAATAATGTGGTCCCCAAGCAAAAGCTTCAATCCAAAATATGAAATTAAATCATTACTCGTTCAAAATACTCGACCAAGTCCCATTCCCATTTTGCCCCAAACCGTAAACACAGACTATCAAGAGAAAGGCTGGAAATAACTCATCAAGCTTACAGATATTAATCCCAGAAAACTCCAAAGACATTGCAATATATTTTAAATGACGTAAAATATGGCCAGAACTTTGTCCTAAGACTCAAGAACTTTTTATAAAGTCCTGAGTTTTACAAATACAGAAGGTAGCCAATGCTATGCATGAAATACAAAGAGTTTAAAGAGTTGGGTGTCTTCATCTCAAAACACGTCAAAACACAGAAGGAAGCAAACTGCACCAGAAGAAATTTACAAGTAGTCTTCAAGGGGAAGCATCATGTGAAGCACACTGCATTCATCGAGGCTCGACATTACGAGGGCACGTCTCACTGTAGCGAAGTCCAGACCAACACCAGATTAGAGACAGCAGATTACAGTAAAAACAGCAGATGTCACAGTCACTGTTCGACCGATCCGGGAAAGGCAGAGACTCCAAGGTGAGCAGAAACCATGAAAGGCCATTCTTGCCAAGTCAAAAAAAATCATACATCCAACACTTCCATCCCTTCATTAAAGCAGAAATACTAAAAAGGAGCACTCCATCACATATCCCCATTGCTTCTGACTGACATGGTGAATCAAAGGTAAAAGCAGAAAGTTAGCAGAGATAATTAAAGCAACAAAGATCTTCTAGCACAAAACAGCGTAGCTGAGCAGCCTACCAACCAGATGATGAATGATTTTGTCTGTTACTTAAAGAAGCTGTGAGTTGACTCTTCAGTTTATTAGGCATAGAAAAGTTTTCATCTAGAGGTCATCTTGACAAACACCTCAGCCTATGTTTAAGCATGTATGAAACACAGCAGAAACCAGTGATAGAGAAGGAAAAAAAGAAGTGTAAGTACTTGCCAGCTTTCCTTCAGAACATTTCAGAGAAAAACCTCAATGTGATGATGACAGCAAACAAGGATGCCAGTCTAATTACCTTTTTTTGTTCTGTCATGCTCCTGATCCTATCTAAGTACTTCTCTGAAAAAAATCTGATCGGTGATGAAGGCACAATTATACAAACCCTAACATTCACTCTAAATGTAGCTATGCAAAAAAAGGAAGCGAGGGTAGGGAAAACAAAGGTGAAGTATATTTCTCTTCAAATAATTCAGTCAGTTTATTTTCCAACAGCCATATAAATTTAAAATATGAAACAACAACAATACAGCTATAGAATTTAGGTTTTCTTTCAAAGCAGCAGCATATAAAAGCTAAAACCTCAGCACAAGCTTCGAAGAAACAGGGACTGAGTGAATTTTGCCAGAGACATGAAACTCACAAAGTACAGTACACAAAGATACTGGAATGCGTAAGATATAAAGCTACACTTTTCAGGTAAAGAAAGACATTGTAAAGTATACAAAATTTGCAAAATTAAACTATGGGATTTGGGGTAGAGTACCATGAATACAAAAAAGTTGGCAATTAACACTTGAAGATGGAGAGAAGGAAGTGGCAGTTGTACATTTAGCATTCAGTTTTCCGGTTCATGACTTCACTTTCTTAGCATCTTTTTTTCCAGAGTTCTCAGTAGCCAAATCTGCTTTTCTCTTCTGTGACTAAAAAGAGGGAGGAAAAAAATCATTTAATAAATTCATTGAAATGGTATCTTTATATAAAAAAATAAACTGCTTAAGTACATGACTATTAAAAAAGCAGGTAAGCGACCCTAATGTATTACACATTTCCATTGTGCTTTGCAGGATGTAATGAAAGGGCAAACAAAAGTTGTGGATTTAGGCACTTAGTTCTGCTACCCTTTTTACCTTCTTGAAATCATTCCATGGTCTCAATGGTACCACACATACCATCAACTGGATGAAATGATCAGCACTGTGACTCGCACATAATTCTGCTCTAAAGATGACAACTCTTCAAAACAAAAGAAGCCCTTCTTATCATTTCTTCTTCCAGGAACTACTGTGTAGGGGAGGAATAACAATCTGAGACTAAATTAAAGCGACATATGATGTAAATAAGTAGGTACAAAGAGGGCAGTGCTACATTTTCCTAAAAAGAGTCTTCCTCTGCCACTTAAACAAAAGACTTCTCAAAAACTAAAAAAATGCCCCAAAATACTATGACTTGGCAATACCTATGTGAAATCTAGGAGAGCTGTGAATAGACAAGTACTTCAATTTAATCTCTCAACTAATGGCGCATACTGGCAATTATTTTTTTTCATTTTATAACAAAATATAATTGAATTCTGCCCCCCTAGAAGTAAAAAAAGTGCTGGTAAACATACTGCTGTAACTTTTGCTCCTCTTTTCTTCTTTTCAGCTCTTTCTTTTTCCTCAATTTCCATATTTTCTTTTTCTATTAATGATATGAGAGTATTGCAGCGTCTCTGGAACTCCTAAGGAAACAGAAAACATCAGATTCTCTAAATAAAATACATAAATTCTCTCGTTTACATAAGTATGTTCAAAATTCTTGAATTCCAAAATACTTACGTTTTCCACAAACGTTCAATATTTATGTACTGGTAAGACTGGTTTAGTTACTGTTCATCTGCCTCTACCTTAGTGTGACCTTCTTTATAGGCAGAGAGGAATATACTGAAATGTTCAGCTTCCCAACAAGGAGATTTCAGGATTGTCTATGCCTTCCAAACTGACACCCCAAAAGACTGATCTGATCTTTCACCTTGTTTAGATGAAGTAAACTTTACCCTGCCAGTGTACTACGCCAGATTTCAGAAAAAGAGGTCTTCAAGTACATCTTTAAAGCAGAGAAAAAAGGACTTAAAGCTATCTTAAGCAATATTTTTCTGAGGCACACAGACTATTTTCTTTTTAGTAAGACACTGCTGAACTGCAAACTGGGAAAAATCTATCCAGTCTTAAATCACAACCTCACTGTCGCGTTTTGAGTCAAGCAGCACCCAAAAGGTAGCAGGCCCTAAGTGCATTTAGCATTGAGACCTCCAAGCTATCTGAAAGTGATCAAGATTAAATGCCACAGGGTCATTCATACATTATTTCCAATACAACTCAAAGTATCTGCATGGCGGTTCATAACACTTGGCCTGGTTAACAGAACTCATTCAGTGTGTTCTATGCGCATTGAGAACAGGGATTCCACTGGATTCTTACCAACTCAAAGCAGGAAGTTTTCTTCTGAGGATAAAAAAAAGCTAGAAAAACAGGTCTTAACTCCATTAAGTTCAACGAAGCCATTTTTGAACCACAAGGTATCCTAGAATTACCTAGCAGCATAAATCCTAATCCACAACTGGTCTATTTGCAATGAAGCGAACAGGCGACCTTTTTGCCCAGGAATTACTCTCTATTTTCTCAGCATCTGTAACCTGTACATCACGTCTGCCATCATGTTGCATGATGGAAAATGATGCAGCCTGCACGCTTTCATGATCCTGCATTCTCAAAACAGACAAGCATGCAACTCGTCTTTGAGATGTTAACACCCCCAAGCTTAACCACATTCCTTAAGTTCGTAGAGGAATCTGTGGAAACTATGGAAGGGGGCTCCACGGCTTTGGGTGAAAGCTGTGCAATTCAGAATGGACACAGAGAATCTTGTCACAACATTATTTTTATTTTTTTCACCACAAAAAATAATTCTTTAGGTCATTTTTCTTTACACCTCCCTACTGGAAACATACCAGTCTCACACGTGTAATTCTGTGAACAGAGTATTATAATGAGTCATTTCTACTACATCCCCCAGTACAGTTCAACCATAAATTACGGCACAATGCTTGTTCCCTGAAATGTGAGAGTCTGGCAGGAGCTAAAATACTCTCACTTCAACTAATAAAAACCCTCAGATGCCACCCATACAACAGGTTTTAGATAAAAAGGCAATGAGTTTGAGAAAACTTGAGTGTAAGCCATCTCAATGTACCCTGCATCTCCAAACACAGAACGAAAGAGGGCCTCTGTCCCAAAATCCTACACTCTACAGATGAGTAGAGATGATAAAGAAAACAAAAGACAGAAGTAGAAAGAGGATTGTGAACATGCCGGGAGCATTTTACACCATTTAAATTTGTGTACCTCGCACTTCAGAGCTGCAGGTAAAGACTGGTGACGAGCTGCTCCATAGCAACCATCGCTAGATCTCTTCTACTGTATAAGAAACTGGTATGTGTTAAATTCAAGACAAGCAATCAATTAGAAAGGACTAAGAAATAACCTTGATCCATTTGCCTAAGGCACTAAGAAAAATCCTTCTCTTCCCTGGGGGAAAATACTTGCACAAACACATACATTTATTAAAATACACAGGTTCATGGTTAGACTTTCCAGAGGGACGACTCCAGAGCAATATGATGTGGACAGAGGACAGACTCAAAACCAATTTTGTCTGGAGAATCACAGAAGCAATTGTCAGCAAGATGTGACATGCACACAGGTTTCTTCTACACCCACCATCAGAAAGGATCTGCTTGATAAATCCTGCATTGGGCTACTGAAATTTCAATATAGACTGCTTCCTTCCATTTTATTACTACAAAAAACACATTTAGAGTTTAAAATGCCTTGCACCTTTAGAGATGAGATTTTACTCAGCGTGGCCGGATACTCTTTAGGATGGAAAGACGTAAGCTGTACTCTGCTCGCCCTGTCATAGCTATAAAGACTAGTATTGCAATAAATAAGATGGGAGCACTGAACCATCACCTTCTGCATGACTGAAGACAGAGATGCTGACTTGGGAGTGAAAGTAGTCCCGAGCGCTGTCCACAGGCCTGTATATTCCTGTATTTACAAGGGAGTCATCTGGCTCATACCAGGTAGGGTTTGCAGAAAGGTAAAGGAGAATATGCGTAATTTTTTACTTCAGAAAACATACGTGATTCACTACTGCCACAGTATTTCACATTCTTCCTGCATGGACAGGAATAAAAGAACAGTAACAACCGAACTCAAAAATGTAAACCTCTGTGCCCAGTTAAAAAAAAAAAATAATTAGGCACTCTCAATCTCTTTGAAAACTTAAATTTTGGGTAAACCATCTGGTTTGGGAATAAATAAGTGAAGCAGAATTTTTGTTTTAAAAAAGAGAAATCTTCAGAAGCAGAAGAAGCAGAAATAAGAAGATGGAAAATAAATTAGCTATTTATATGGAATTCAAGAGACATCTAGTGGCTGGTAGAAGACAAAGCTTTCTGTCTGTTAAGTCCTTTTCCGAATTACACTGTCCTTTGTCTTGTTTCCAATCAGTTTGAATGTCCCAAAGGGTAATTTTGAGCATACATGTGAATTTCAGAACTCTAAGAAGTTTTATCCGCTGCCACTGAAGTCACTATCTACCCGTTTTGTAAAGACCTGTATTTACACTGGGTTCATTACACTTGGTATCAAGTGACCTTCCGGCACATTTCTTCATAAAAATTACCAAACCACTGCAAAATGGACTCATAGAAATCACAGAATCGCTCGGTTGGAAAAGCCCTCCGAGATCATCACGTCCAACCGCTCCTGTCTACCCCCTAAACCATATCCCTAAGTACCTCATCTACCCGCTCTTTAAACACATCCAGGGATGGTGACTCCACCACCTCCCTGGGCAGCCTGTTCCAGCTTCTGACGACCCTCTCAGTAAAGAACTTCCTCCTTATCTCTAACCTGAACCTCCCTTGGCACAGCTTGGTGCTGTAAATACTTCCACAAATGCCAGGATATCTGAATACATAAAATACACCAGCAATTTGCAGTTATCAACTACTAAACCATACATATCATGACAACTTACAACAGTTAAGAAAATTAAATGTATTACTTTAGCTTTTTATTTTCATACTATTCCAACTGTGTAACAGCAGAAAAACTAACACAATTAATATTAATGAATATAATTTGAAGAGTTTTCAACTGTGTAACAGCAGAAAAACTAAAACAATTAATATTAATGAATATAATTTGAAGAGAAAACATAAGCCAGCAGATTCACTATGTTCCAAATGCCTTGATTTCAGCATTAGAAACCACAGAACATACTTCCACACTTTAGCAAGTGATTTTTGTCCCTTTTAAAAAGAAAATCATACTGAATATAAGGATCCACGAGAAGATTTAAACTGAGTCACAGATTCACTAGGTTCCAAATGCCTCGATTTCAGCATTAGAAACCACAGAACGTATTTCTACACTTTAGCAAGTGATTCCTGTCCCTTTTAAAAAGAAAATCATACTGAACATAAGGATCCACGAGAAGATTTAAACTGAGTCTTTAACTCTACCCCTGACTTAACCACACATCAACTAATATCAAACGTTGAGCCTCATTTTTAATTTCTAGTGCCCATTTCTATGATTTACTTAAAAGGATTCCTCCATAGGTGACTAAAAAGAGACTTCACAATTGACTAAATATTGGAGGTTTCTCTCTTTATGGACATAATTTTTACATCCAGTATTTCTTCAGAGAGACATTTTAGCAATTCAAGCTTGTAATTCTTTTTAATTAAGGGATAACTGCTGCACTACCCAGAAACACTTTAACTGCTGAAATATGAAGTAGAAATCGTATTGCATAACTAGAAGTAGCACTGGGAAAAGCAAATATTCCCACCTGCTCAAATACACATTTTAAATATTTTATATTTTATTTATTCTCAGCAGGGTACCCAGAACTCTGAAAGAACATTTCGTAAACAAATCCTGAGGCCAGGAAATGAAGACAGTTAACAATAATGCACAGTGGTTCTGCAACTGCTAGACTAAACTCCTAAGAAAATCCAGATTTGTGTATGAAATGACATTTAAGTCCCATGACTGCAGCACAGCATTTATTTAGAAATTTGCTTACAAGGCAATGGGGAGAATCCACGACAGCTGCATAAGGGACAGGGTGCTCCACTCTTCTCCATCAGCCATGGCCAATGCAGTTTTGTATTCAGACAGACAAAAGTATGTCCTAGCTCTCATCACAAGTAACATTAAGTTATCTGGAAGTATTTTTTTCCCCCATATATTAATGTTCACATGAAAATGCATGTGTGTGTTTCTCACATAAGGTGCACATACTTAAAAATCTTACTCTTAAGAAGAAGGAACTGAGTCAGGGGTGATGCGAGTGAAAACTCCAGGGCAAAGCTAACAGCTTTTTGTCATTAGGAGTCCCACATTCTGAGGTTGGTACTTACATAGCTTATTGCAACCACCAGAGCTTCTGTTAGTGTTGTCACTGACCACTTAGTGACTAAACGAAAAAGAGAATGGCTCTGCTCTTCAGACAGAGCAAAGGCAAATACAGCTAAAATTCAGAGTGCTAGTCTGCTTGCTATCAAACTTGTATTATGTTCTCCAACTATGAATGCAATCTTCAGAAAAGTGTAACTAAAAAAAAATGTAAGCACTTGCATGTGATAATCCTTATTCACAACTACAAAGTGCATTTTAAACCAAATGCTTCAATGATTAACTCTTACCTGAATCACTAATTTCTAAAAGCATGAGGAAATTTAAGTACCAATATAAGAAAAGCTGTTACTTCCTCCCAGTACATAATTCAGATGATTTTAGTTTTTAATACTGTCCAACAATTCTGAAAGGCAGTCATACTTTAAGATACATTGTTTGGTAGAACTGTTAGCTTGCAGTATTTGTAAGGGGAGTCTACCTACGCGTTAATTCCTCTGGGTAACTTAGGACTTTGCAAAGTCCTTTGTATCGTGCTGTTCACTTACTAAGGAGAAAAGGTTATTTTATTAAAAACTAGAAATGAAAATAAAAACCCAAGTTACTTTTTCAGCACTTGTTTCCTAGACTCCAATACTGTGGCACAAATCCAAATGTTATGTGACAGCGCTTAAAAAAGAAGGAACAAGACACTTCATGTGATGACTTAGTCCATGTAGCTGATACATACCATTGCAGTCCTAGATTTGATAAACCAGTCAAATCTGAACTGAGGCGCGTTGCGCACACACTGCCTTAGCTCCTCGTACACATTTTCTTTGTCGAAGCCCATCTTGTGTAACATGCATATCAAAAATCGGTCTTCCTCTTCTGTGTAATTTTTCCCTTTGTTTGTTCCATACTGAATACGCAACTGATGAAAAGGTGCTTTATACCTTGCAATCTGAATGCAAAACAAAAATAAGGACTGTTAAATATACACTGCAGCATCAAGGATTTACTACAGATTGTAGGTTATATGATACTGATTATACAGATTATCATACTGATACATGGAATACTATATGTTATTAAAAAAGACAAAACTCCCATCCCCAACTATTCTTTTTCTGAAAGAATCTGGAAGAAGTTAGCTGCAGAAAACAAGAAATCTGCAATGATTACCTTGGCGTCGAGGGCTTTCTTGATACTGATCCTCCGCTGAATTCTTGCCTCTCCTCGTTCAATCTGAGCCATAATCCTCTCAATGTCCTGCAGTTCATTACAACGTTCCCAGAAAACGGCTAAAAACACAAAACAATTTGTAAAATGAAATATTTTCCCCTACTCTTACTACTTTACCCAGTTGAGGCACTTCAGAAAATAATTTAAGAAAAAAACTGATTCAAGGAGACCACGTTGTCAAGGTAAATTAACTACGCCAAGTTCTAAATTTTGACTAAGCAGGACAAAGGCAGCTGAAGCCATCATTTATATGCTGCAAATTCAACCTTTTAAACAAAATTAAGTCTTCTGAAAAGAACTATCATGTACTTTTAAAAAAAGTACACGTGCAAATTACGTATCTTGTCATTTCACAAGAACAGGCAGCAAAAATGATGGTGATACCGCATGATTAAGAAACGTATTTCAAAATATCACAAACCTGAATACTCAATGACCTCCTCGGGTGACTTTCCCTCCACCTCACGGGCAATATTGTCTATATCGTCACGACCGTATTTCTCATTAGCTTTAATAAACTGGTTAAAGTCTCTTTTATTCCAGTTTGTAAAACCCTGTAAGCAGCAAGAGATCAAGAAGGCATTACTAAGTAGAAGGGAAGCAGTTTGCAAAATACTGTCTCAAGTACATATCATCTGCTCCAATTGGCAGTGTCTCTGCAATGTCACATAATTACAGGGTTTAATGATCTTTCAGGTTTTCCATAAACTTGTATTATCCAGGGCTTATTACTGAATCATTAAAGTCTAAAGAGCGCACGACTTTTTGCACATGATTCTATATGCATTAGTAAGTGCTTTCTACTGTTCTCTCTTTTTAAACTTTCTACATTGTATTTCTCCAATGAAACAAGCCCAATGACAGGTCACTGTCATTATTTAAGTCACCCCTCAGCAGATAGAAGCAACAAACATCTTAGGAATACAGAGTGCACCAATGCAAGTGTCATTACAAGTCTTTTGAGTAGCACAAGTACCTAAAGCAAGAGCTCCTACTGCGGGTGTTTACAAACCTTGAACCAGACAAACAGTTGGATGAAAGCATGAGAATGTCAAGAAAGCATGAGAAGTCCCAAAAGATGCAATCAAATGGAAACTCTACAGCACTGTTAAACAGAAAAATTACGATGTACCGAAGAAAGGAATTCAAAACTGAACAACAGTTAAGTGAGATGCAACGCACAAAAACATCACCCAAGAATGAGACATTACCATTTAAAGACAGGGAAAGGAGAAAACATCAAGGACAAACAAACAAGAAAATCACATGCCTGAACAGCAACTTTTAGCACTTTGAGTTTCTTTCATCAGAGAAATATATTTACAAGGAACTCTGTCAGTTCTCCAGCTAAACAAGCTCAGTCCACAATAAGACAGCATCTTTACAAGTCTAATACAAATATCTCTTTTTAATCACTAACAGCAGTAATGACATGCATATCAACACCAGCTGAAATATTTCCTCTGCTAAAAACAGGTCAAATTAACAGTCAGATTGTGGCCTTGCAAACCTCTTCTCAAGGTACGCTATGTTGTATTCTCTTCTTTTACAGACAATGTTGTGTATCAAAACATCCTGTTACTTTGAGACCCACCTTTCTCCTTAACAATTAGCTTTAATAAGCCTACTCATCAGGATAACAGTCCACGAAGTCAGGAAACCTAGCCAGCGACAGGAATGCAGTCCCAGTATAAAAGGAGCATGCCTAACAACCCAACTGGGGCAAAGCTAACGGATGTGACACGAGGTCTCAAACACCTGTGTAAATACTGTGTATGTTGACAGCGGCTTGTGTTCCCCGATTCAACCACTTTTTGATAAGAACACATGCAAGGTAGATGCACATACAAGAAACCTACTGCTCAGATTTCTGCATGGATTGCTGGGTAGTGCATCTACCATACAAGTGCTTGCCTCAGAAATGCTGCAGACATTGAAGAAAACAGTAGGTGACTCAGACAAACTTGTTCAAGGACAGGAAAGGTTTCCTCAAAGCAAAACGAAGCAAATCATTACATGTTGTGTGCTTTCTTCTTTATATAATACCAGTGTAGCTTTCCTGTGCATATTTGTCATTAATACTATTTATATTCCATACTAGTAAATAGTACATGATTAAACACAGTATATGATTAAACACTCATCTGTTTTTACTTTACCTGTGTTAGAAGCTTTTCTTTCTCTTCAGTTTCCTCAGTATTCAGAGGCATAGACTCATCTATCTTCTTTTGTTCTTCTTTTTGTACTTGAGCTGCATTTGGGAGGTCAGGATTCCTGGGGACCTAAAATTAGGGATATCAATAAGCAGTAGTGCAGTAATGTTAATGAAGAGACTGTACACTTAACCTTTGTTTACAACTTCTAAGCACGTTGGATTTCACAGGACTGACATAGTCCACATCCACTAAGCATTTGTTGTCACAGAACAAAACAACAAATCCAAACAACGAGAAAAACCCCAGCATCCCACACCTTGGCTACCCTGAAAAAACCAAAGAACAATAAAAACACTTTTTAAAATAACTACCAGAATATTTTCATCAGTTATCTACAAAACTGTTGCAAAACTGAAAGCATTATCCTCCAAGACAAGGTGATGTAGCAAGTACTGCCATTTATCTACACTTGTTCCTTCCAGCATCACAAGCTCTTAATGTAAAGTTTATCTTCACCTCTATGTAACAAAAAAGTGTCCTATTCACTTTTTCTTTAAGAAACTTTAGTGATAAAAACTGTAGGATACATGAAATAGTAAAAAACACTTTTCCAACTATTAGAGCACTGATCTTTACAACAGTTACCAAACGCGTTCTGCCTAAACACAAATCTTATTGCTTAAACCCTCCCTCCCAGAAGTAGGATTAGATGTTGTCAAATGTGTAATTTTGTTATGCCCTGCACACAATGACTTGGGGACATCGTGAGAGGCAGAGCCTCCCCTAGCACAACCTCTCACAGCTCACTGGTTTCAGTGGTGCTTTTTATTAGCTAAGGATCTGCTCTCTTACATCCAACAGTTCATCTTGTTTTGTAACTACAGTGAAACACTAAATTCTGCCTGGTTTACTATGAAGCTGTTCACACTGCCAAAGGAAAGACCAGACACACGTTATATACAAGGCCTAGCAATGTTTTATCTGTCCCAATACCTATTTGATACCTTCTGATACTGTTTATGAGAGTCTTCACTTTTAATAATAAGATCTCTTCAGATGAAAAGTTCTCGTTCCATTTCAAAGCAGAACAAAATCATCTGTATCACTTTCACCACCAGTAAACAGCCATGCTAAGTTTTCCCAGTAACAAGTACTCATGTTTGACCTATCCAATCTGACAGATTTCGCTAAGAGGACTGCAACACCTCTCTTTTTACATGCCTATTATCAACTTCAGCAATTCTCTCATCCTTATTTGCTGGAGTATCAATTGAACAATTGCATTCCCTAAGCTAATTATACTTCCTCTAAGTATAAGGAAGCATACTTTATTCTACCCTGCCATCTGCATCAAATTCTTCTTGCTTCAAACTAGATTCTAAGATACGTTCTGCTTTTTCTTAAAAATACATCTTGCTAGTAGTCATTCTACTCCTGTACACCACCAGTTTCCCATCCACTGCTTTGTATGACAAGTTTATGTTCTCCGATACATTTTATACGTCGCTTCTCCTTGCTGCAAACATGAAACATGGGGCTTTTTAAAGTAAGTTACATGTCTGGAAGTAGGGGATGCATTTGATTTACTCAGCCAATACTGGCACAAGTATGAAAATCAGTTTCAAAACAGCATCAGTGTCCGCTGCTTCTCCAGCAATGTAAGCAGGAAGAGGGAGAAATTCAGCTAAGGCATAGCAGGACACAAGCAAACAAACGACTATGTCTGTTGCCTGGTTTTCTTTTTGTAGTAGTAATACAATCAGACTCCTCTACACCTTTAAACATTTTATATCCCAGCAAAATGCAAGGAAAATTGATGGCACTTTGCTTACCTGTCAACACAAACTCGACTTCAGTATTACATTAAGTTAGCTTCTGCACAAGAAACACGAAAGCTATAACCAAAAAACAAAATCCAAGCATAACCTGGAAGGTGATCGTGCATTAGCCAAAAATTGTTGTCTCACCTTATACCACATATCACATTCCCGTTCTTGAGAATCACAGAATCGCTCGGTTGGAAAAG